AATGTAAATGGTGGAAATGAAAAATAGTGACTGGGTAGGGATATGGTTTGGGTATTGGTGAGTGTAAGAGGCTATGTCCTGCGATCAACGGGACATAGCTTGGTTACACTGCTTTCCCTGTCCATGTCGGTTAAGGACCGGTCGTTGCATAAGACTCTAGGCAAGTCACAGACTTATTATCCCAAGCACATACTTGGGTATGGACGCTTGGAAGACTTGTTACTCTCTTGTCATAAGTTTCGACTCTTTCTAGACCGACTGTCATGGTAGTTTTTGGGTTAGGAGGTCCTTGCACCGCACTGAGTCTGAGACTCAGGGGCGGGGGATTGAAGTCCCAGTTTGGACGGGGACCTAGACCCCGTGACAGGAGGGTAGTGGGTTGGTCCTACTTGTGCCTGGGGTACAAGCGGGACGTGTGTTTTCGGGGTACCCAGCTGGGGGCATTGATTCGTGAATCACCGGGAAATCCGGTATGGCTTGTCAACCGTCTAGCACCGTAGTAAGAACTGGAAGATGAAAGATGAAAAAAGGAAATCTGATTGCTTACCACCTGCTTGAAAAGTAGCACATGTGCTTATATAGAATGGTTAGTTAATGAACTAATGCACTGCTAATAAAAATCAAATATAAGGACACACGCTTAGTAATGCTTCCTGCAGATAGAATAAACCCACAAGCCAGATACCATTGCGTATCCTTTGAGTCTTTTCTTTTCTCCTGTCGGGTAAGACTTGCTGAGTATAATTGAGTACTCAGGGTTTTATTTCCCCCTGTTGCAGGTGACAGGTGGAGGCTAGAGCTGACCTTTGTGTGTGGATTCCTCCTGGTAGGCTCACAGAGGATTTCCTTTATGCTACGATCGTAGTTTTTATTTATAACTCTCACTAAATGTTTTTATAATTGAAAGTTTTATAATCTGTTGTCCTAGTTTATTTATCAATGCTTCATCATGCTATGAATAGCTCTTTATTTCCGCTATAATTCTGATCACATGTTTATATTCCGCTAATAATTTAAATTGTTCACAATTATGATAATATGATTACATTCCGCTGTTATAACCATAAATAGTATACTCTGATGTTGTATTAAAAGTGATGTAAGAAATTGTTAAGAATGATGTAAGCTTTATTCTCTCATTTGTGATCCTGATGGAAAAATGTGGATTTTCGGGTTCTCCCCTAGGGTGTGCCCGATGGGACCGTGTGATTTAGTATTCTTCTTCAAGTGCTTAGTGTATAATGGAAGACGAGCACTCCTAAGAGGCATCAGATTAGGTGATTCTACAACAGCGTCTAAAGAGGGGTTCGATAACCCTAAATCTCTGGTTATGGCCTACAACTAGCAGAAACATTGCAACTTGTTCTTCAATGTTGTTGTTGATGCTGTCCCTGAGCAATGCCCTGTTGCGGAACAAATCGTAGAGCTAGAAGAAGGGGGCTCTCCTCATCCTAAGAAGCTCGACACAACAACGATCATCGCTATGGTAGATGAACCTAAGGTTGTTGGCTCTTTCTTGGTCTCTGGCAGTCATAGGCCCATAAGTAATTCCTCTTGTAGAGGTCAACATTCGCCTGAATCTGACAAACATCCGGGTAGAGATCACTGCGACCAAGGCTGCGCCCCTAATGATAAGCTACCGACGCCTAGTTTCACAATCCATGATGCTAAATAAGAAATAGGATATCAATTAGTAAGACATGGACCCCAAATCGATGGATCAGTTGCGTCACCACATGGTGCGCCACCCAGATCCACAAAGAAATCAATGACTTTACCAACAAATCAGAACAAACTAGGGTTTGGGTAACCAAATACTTGAACGTTTACAACAGTATGACTCAAACCCTAACCAATTTCTAGGACCGACTGCGACACCAAGTGGTGCGCCACCTAGATCCTCAAGTATCATCGACCAAACCCTAAAGCTCAGCAAAGAAATGGAACGAAATCACCCTTACTATGTTCAAAAGGTACAAAAAACAACACGCAAACAAAAAGAGACAAACAAGAAGGGATTGATGCCTCATACCACGGTCCTTCGGGCCTTACCAGCAACGCCGACGGAGTTCACTGCCGCTGCCGGCACACCGAGAATGAGGAAGATGGTGTGGGCCAGAGAGCGAGAGGGCGAGAGTGCGAGTGAGAACGGCGCCAGAGTGGAGAGGTGAGTGAACAATTACCTGAAACCCTAGCCAGGCGGTGAGAGCTCGCTTATATATGGTGGCCAGCCTAGGGCACCCGGTCCCACCTTGCGCGCGGGCGGAGCTGGGCTGAGCCCGGCTCTAGGAGAACGACCAATTCAACCGTTCGAACATGGCCAGGCTCCGGGAGTACGATTGGCTCTAGTTAGCCAGGCCCCAACCCATCTACAAGCAACCAAACAAGCAAAAACTAGCCCCAAGGAACCAGACTATGGGTTGGGCACCCAACCAAACACACCCTATATGGCCGCAGGGATGACATCCGAGCCATGGACTCCAATTCCAAGTTTTGTTGTGTGGCCAAGGCATCACCGTGTGGGGGCTCTCTGGAGTCATGTCATGTGGGGGCTATGGCCGCGGACCGCGTCACCACAAAGCTAGGTCGTGGGCCTGGAAGCTAGTGGAATGTGGAATGGGCCTCGCGAGTGGTGAGCGAAAAGCATCCACACACCACACAGCCGCTGGTCACTTTCCAAGTATGTTTTTTTTCTTTTCTCAAATCTACACGTATAATATTTATACTCTATACTTGCTGGACTTGCAGGGTATGCCAGTGTATACCTGACATACCCTGTAGATTCGCCCTTGCCGATAGTGATGGATGGTCTATCACTGTTGGTTCATGTCTTCAACTGATAGTGATAGGCGGTGTACTATCAATGCCGGTCCATGGCTTCAGCCGGCAGTGATAGACCGTGTACTATCGTTGCCGGTTAAAGACACGAACCGACAATGATAGCTTCACCTATCATTGTCGGGTCGTGGCTTCAACCGCAAGTGATAGGTTGTTTTGAATAAAAAAATCTTTACTTTTCATATGAGATCGGACCAAGATAAACTTTATATCAAAATTAGAGAGTTAAGATCTAAAATGTAGTTGATGACTTTTTAATTGAAATGGTTTACAAGTCCAAATATGCAATATAATTTTTCGGAACAGATTTGAGATGATTAACAATGTTGAATAGAGACAAAGTTAGCATGAAAGTTGTAGTACTCGATGAGATCTACAACTTTACTGTTAACAACTTTTTCATTTAAGATTGTTTGGACGGTTAAATATACAATATAAGATTCAAAATTATGTAGTTAAAAGAATAGGTTCAGTTGCATAGTCAATGTGTTGCATAGCTTAGTTGGTATGTGTGCTTAAGAGAATGTGAATGTTGATGAATGTTGATGAGGTCTTGAGTTCAAATCCTAAGAAACACATAATTTTTGTTTTTTTATTACTCATCGCTGTTGGTTCTAGAGTCGGAGGTATTGTGCTGAAGCCAAATCCGACAGTGATGGGAGTTTCACTACCGGTTCTTGTGATGGGTCATTGCCTATTGCCCACTGGCGAAGCCAAATCCCACTCCAGCGGTGGGATTTTTTTACCACATATCGCTGTCGGTTCTACACCTGGAGGCAGTATGCCGAAGCCAAATATGACAGTGATGAGAGTCTCACTGTCGGTTCTTATGATGGGTCATTGCCGATTGCCCACTACCGGAGCCAAATCCCACAGTGGGGTTTCCGACCTTGCAGTGATTGTCTATTTACGTAGTCAAAGGAAATGAGTGCTTTGCCTTGCCAACTGTCGCGCTGATGAAATCGCTCGGTTGCGGGTGTCGAGATCTCCTCCGAAGCCCTGCTCACATGGGCAAAAGAGGGAGGTGCTGCAAATAAAGATGGAGTCATGTTCATGTTCCACATCTGGCTCGTTATCATGCTTCCTCTTTCCCCTTTTTGATGCATTTGTTCTTCTTCCCTGTTTCGATCCGTATGATGTTGTAATCCTCCAAGTTATGGCCGACGTATCATGCCTATACGAATCCCCGACAGGTCTACCATTGCAGGTGAATCTTGCCTTCGTCAAGTTTGTCTCAACGAATCCATCGGTATTGGACTTCAATTGAGCCGGTGCATCTCCTACTACATAGGATTCTAATCTCCACGCACAAACGGTGAGTTCATTTAGGGATATCTCAACAGTTTTACTAGGAGATTTCTCATATATGTGATAGGTATTTGGCCTTTTTTGGCTATCCATAGTTAGCACTCTGCTTCCTTGTCATTAGAAATCACTATGCGATGTGTCTGAAATCCTTTTCAAAACTTATGTAATGAGGAGCCTAGGGTTATCTATTAGTTGTGTATAAAATATATCTAGAGCTTTCTCATTTCTTCAGTACAAGTGTGCACTAGGTATTAGGCCTGTTCTTAGTTTTGCTAACTATATGTTTTTATTGTGTGGTTCTCTCTGTTATTGTTCATGTAATATTCAGCTTTAGTTACATGTGTGCTTCTTCGTATTTCTAAAATGACTGCAATTCTCCTCTAAAGAATGTGTCGACTCCTCGAAGAGAGCTAGACGCCACGTCACCCTAATTTCTAAAGAATGCGTCGACTCCTCGAAGAGAACTAGACGCCACGTCACCCTAATTATTTCTAGCCGTTGGATCTTCGATCGTGCGGTCCAGATCACTTGGATCAGATTCTGTCGAGAACGGCTTCTCCCGCTTCTCCTTGGCTTCTCCCGCTTCTCCTCTGCTTCCCCCGCTTCTCTTTAGAATCCATAGAAGCAAATATATGGATCAGCTTCCGCTTCTCCTTAAAAAAAAGGAACCGTATCTCTCCCCATCCTCTCTCTCGTTCTCTCCCGACGCGCCGGCGACTAGGGTGACGGCGCCCCCGCGGGCGGCGCACCGGCGGCCCCCTTCCCCTCCGTTCTCTGCGCTGGTGAGTCCCGACAGTCTCTAATCTTCCCCTCCCTCTCTTCCCATCTCTACCAACGCGAGCGCGGGCAGGGCGATGGTGCGGTCGCCGGCCCTCGGCGCGGCGGCGGCCGTCCTTCTCCTCCTCCACGCCCCCTCGCGCCGCACGGGCGGGGCGACCGCGACCCCCACCGGTGGCCGGCGGCGCGGGCACCCCCACCGCTGCCTCCTTCCGCCAATTCGCGTGTGTTCTTGTGCTCTACGAAACCTTAGCCGCGTCACGAGCCGCGGACCGCGCACGACGCCCGATACGGATGCAACTGGCCTCTCCCTCGCCTGCAGCGCTTGTACATCAGCTATAGCATGCAATTGCCTAATACATCTGTGATTTTTAATGTCTTCATGGCAATACATTTCGGTTGGCACGCAGGTTCTGCTGGTGCTGTGTTCGTAAGGACTTCAGCTACAGCGCCCCAAGCAGAAGACTACTCATTAGTGCTTTCTGGGAGTACAGGCAATCAACAAGCAATATTTACTCATCGCCTACCTTTCATCATTTATTATTTGTCTCTTATTTTCTTAAATCCTTTTAGATATTGGAGGATTGCAGTTGTGGGCAAATTTCAAAAAGTGAGCAGCTGACCTTCTACCATCAAAGACCATGGCCGAGTCTTACCAAGGTTAGTCACAATGTGCACCCCTCAGGTTGTTTGATGTAATGATGCAATTACATTGTCATTTAGGTCTCCACAAAAAAACATAAAAGCCAAACATGATGCCTGGTTGACCGCTAGGTTTTGCTGTTATACACTAAAAAATTGTTTACGATAAAATGATAAAACTTTACATGAGGTTGATTGATTATCTTATTGTGCAGTCTAATGCTTCCTATTTTTCTTTAAAATGCCTCTAGAATGATTGGGATAATAATGTCTTCGTGTACATGGAAGCCTTTGCCAATTTCCAGTTTTTCTCAAAATCTTTTATGCATTCTAACTGCTGTACTTTTACGTGCCTCAGGTAATTCCTTATCCTCCAAAAGGAAAAATAAAAACCAGAGCAGAATGATATCCTATTCTCAGTACTCTGTTAACTGAGCAAGTATCAAGAGAAATTAGTAATAATTATATGCTGATTCTTTTGCCAGCTTAAGCCAGTATGTCCTGCAAGCTGTTTACTGCAGTTCTTTTAACAATGGGCAAAAACTCACATGCTTTGACTTATTCATAGTTCACAATGCGTTAGCTGGACAGTTAGTATTTTGTGACATGGTGCACAAAGCTGCTTTATTTGCTGCAATACTGCATCTAATGTCTATTGTAAGCTAGATTAAATTTCGCTTCATAGATATATCAGTGCATCTATCTTTTCTGAAACCTTATTCGTCGGCTATGTGGTTGTTTGATAATATCATCTCTGTATTTCAGGGCCAAAGGAGCTCACTGGTGCTGTTGATTTGATCAGCCACTACAAACTGCTGCCACACCATGAAACATCTTCACAATGTTGTGCCTTGGAATTTTTTTCGGTGTTATAAATGCAAGGCCTTTGGCTAGAGATTTGTTTATGGCATGTGTAAGGTGATATATGTTTTTGGTTTGCCACTGCTACCTCAACTCCATAAATTTCCTTGCACATTGCTGAAAGCCTCTGATTTGCTTGCAGACATTCTAAGCATCAAGAACTGAAGGACTTCTCTTTATCGATTGGGATACTTCAGGTCGGTTGCAAGTAAGTTTAGGATGATTTATTATGATTATGATGCAGAATTTATCATGTGAGTATGCTATTGCTCCTTTGTTGACATTTAAATGACGGAAATTTACAGTAATTTGGTTCTGACCAAGGTTAATGTGTGAATGGTCACAGGAAAGATCTAAATGATGTGATGCAACTAAACCATATTATGGAATTGCATGTCTGAAAGTCTATTCGATATAGTGCTTATCAATTCAGTCAGCATGGAGCCTACATTTTTGCTTCACTGTTGTCACTTGTTAGCTCACAGACCTTAGTCATATTCAACTTCATGCATAAATAATTGTCTATGGGCGACCTACAACTGGCTAATGCTGAATGTTTTATTGGGACTCCCTACTTTATTTTGTTCTTGGTGAACTGGCAGTTTAGGTTTACTAGACTTTCAGTTAGATAATCAGGTAAGATACTAGATTCACATAGGTTGCCACCTCGTTGTGAAAATAAGGAGAGATGTGACTGCCATTTACTGAATTCTTTCCTGAAGATAGTTCTAGGGTGAAACCATGTGCAGGTTCCTACTAAATAGTTATATCTTCGAGCACCCACATCATGTGAAAACAACGATGCTTGGATTAGGCAGTGCTTGGATGAAAAATGATAGTCTGATGCCTCTACATCTCTATAGAACGGCAAATACTTGGTAGTGATAATTGATCGTCCGAGTTTCTCTTTTCACAGTAAGACAGGAAAAGTGTAGTTAAATTTGTAATTTGTATACACAACCCCATCATTATTATTTTCTCCAGTTGACCTTATGCCTTCTGTAGTGGTGTCATGAGATTTCTTTAAGGGGGCCTTCTTTAAATACAGCAAAACAAAGATATAGTTTAATCAACCTTGTTTCGCCTGCACTATAACAGAATTGACTGCTGTGTTTCTACTTACAAACAACCGTTGTCCATTTCCTTGGTCCATTTAGAGAATTATCAACAGAATTGTTCCTTTCTCTGCAGAATTTCTCCTGGAATGGCTGATTTGGTTAATAAGCTAAAAGCTAGGAATGTTGATGTATTCCTTGTGTCAGGAAGCTTCCGACAAATGATCAAGGTAGGTCGTGTAATATCATGCACTGGTTCGTTCGCGCTGCCTTACACTCAATTTTTTTATGGTCACATGTTGACCATATTTGAATGCCAATGATGATGACAATAAATATCTTTTTCCCTGCACTATGGCATATGATCGTTTCTGTGATTTACAGGCAAAGCTATTGCCAAATGGACAGGATAATGTCAATGTTTCGTTCTGTAAATTGATTGATCTGGACTATGGATTTCGCAGGAACAACTAAACATGTCTTATTCTTAGAACCATGGCTGGGACTGTTCCATTTGAGAAAGCACTGTCAGCCAGGCAGTCTTCAATGAAGAGTGCCTCGAGAAGAGGCCACCAAGGTAACGTCGCTTTATTCTAAACTCCATGTTAGTCTATATGGTACCCGGTATTTTAGTGTCCTTGGTTCACATCTTTTTTTTAGCTATTGGGATTCAACAACACTGCTATTTATCTTTTGGAAATAATGGGTATGGATTTAACCCCCTCTCTGTTCCCCCCGTATACAGAACTCTCTATACAACAGCAAGTACTTAGTAGCGATAATTGATCGTCCGAGTTTCTCTGCTCACAGCAACACAGGAAAAGTATAGTTATACTTTATATTCCTATAAACAACCCCAGCATTACCATTTTGGCCACTTTAACTTATGCCTTCTGTAGCGGTGATATAAGATTCCTTTAAAGTTCCACAGAATAGTCATGTCCAAAGGTTCCATCAGCAAGTTCACAACCAAGTTTTTACAATCCCAAAATTTAGTCCTCTGTTATATAAATTTCGCTGACGCTTTTTCGCAGCCTCTCAAAAGAAAAGAGAAACATAAAAGAAGTATGGAAAAAGAAAGGAATAATATTAACTTTACCTAATTCTGCGCGGAAATTCTCGGCTACATTACAAAGTACACATCAGTATCATCTATAGTTCCAAGGGGTAAAGAAAAAGCAAGTATCCTTAGAGAGGTTTCCATCAAAGATGTCAGGTATACATACACAATGCAAGTCCTGTATCCATACTGCCTGTTAGGCCTGCACTGTAACATTTTCATTAGCGAGGATATGAGCTAACATACTCTCATTTTCCAGAGCTCAAGGTAACTCTGGGGTGATCATGCAACAAATTTCACCGTCGATCACCTGTACAGTGAAGATGCTCCTAATGTAGTGGTGGGCCTATTTGTCGGCTGCATGCCCACAAAAATATTTAGTAAGATCTTATTTCTTGAGAATATTTTACCTTACATTTTCCTTAGTTATAGATACGCAAATACCTGTACTTATACATGGACCAATATCATTCCCGGTAAATTCCAGATACACCCTATGTCAGTGGTTATATATATTCAAGATGCAAAATATCCGATATGTACCGCACCCATGCAATTGACAAATTCAAATGGCTCTTTCCTACAATGTACAAATCATATTGTATATCTATCATCTATTGATCCACCAAATTCTTTGTGCAACCAGGTGTTGTCGCTCAACAGAGTATGTGCTACACCATTTTGTGACGTGCATGACTATGCTTCACAAGCTCAGCATGGACAATGATTCCTGCGCATGTCAAGTCTGTTAGATCATGAAAGATGTCAGATGGACTTAATAAAAAAATTCTTGTTGTACTAACAAGGAACAAACCTATTCCTAGGCCTGTTATCTGTAAATTAGACAGGCTATTCTACCTTAAACTATCGTTCCTTAGCTACAAGTGGAATCATGTAGTACTATGAAGAACCTAGATGCTTGTTTATCTGAGGGCTCAAAGACCAGTTGAACCTACCCGGACAAATGTAATATACTGGATGTCCTCTAATGGTTCTTCGTACTTATGATTCACGTGTCCATGTCCTCTAATGATTCTTTAGCTACACGTGGTTTCCAGATTATTAACTACAATACTGTTTGTGGATTCAGTCTCCACCACTCCAGGGCCCAACACGATTAGCTGACTGATGCGGCGCGCGAGGGCTCGCCCCCTTCCACTAGTGTACATGAAGATTTAATGGCGCTACTAGTCCAAAGGCTACAACAACTAGTTTAATTTCATTGATTCATGAATTTAATGGTGCTACTGGTTCAATATGCCTAAAAACACAACAAATCTGAATATTCTGAGTATGGGAAAAAAATCATAGGCGAACACAGGGCCTGTTCGGCAGGACTGAAAAATACTGTTCCGGCTGATTGTTGTGAGAGAAAAATACTGTTCTGGCAGGACGTGAACAGTGATTTCGTGAGTGGCGGAACAAGCCAGCCGAACACGCCCACAATATCGAACGGTGGTCGAGGTTGTTTCCAGTATGCCTGGATACACATGTCAACTCTGTCCTATCAATGGACTAACAGTGTCATTGTTACACGAAATAGCTGAAGAGCTAGCAAGTTTGGAGAGGGCTCGGAGCCAACGTGTTTGAGACGACAATGCCAAAGGGAAGGTGTGATGGCGACGAGAGCTTGTGCCTCATTGTATAGGTGGCATGTCAATAATATAATAGATAGAGGTGAGCGGAACTATTACACTTGGCGATCAAGCTCTGAGTATGAAAATTCTTCACAAAAAAGATCATATGAACCAAACTAAAAAAACAATTATTGTCAATACTAAAATGTCTAACAAAAATTATTTTCTTGATAATATGAGCGATAAGAACATTTCAAAGATAAAATTGATCGTGAGGAGCAGGAAGGACAGTGGAGCCAACAAAGGTAAGGGCATCCCCAACACTCATCGACGTTGCTGGCTGAGTAGCTTTGGGAGCAAGCTCGGACTAACGTGGAGGGGAGAGAACGGGCAAAATTAAATCGTTGTCAATTTGTTCGGTGCTAGCGCAGAGCAGGTGGAAGCCAATACGTGATGGATGCATGTAACTTTTTTACCCTGGCGGCCAATCGAAAGCCACTGATGGAGAAAAATGATTGTATTAACCAATTTTGATGTATGGGTCCACAAGTCATGTCCATATCAACCGTCGAAGTCAACGGGGCCGCTGAGGATGCCCTAAGGGCGTCCCCAACGGTGCCCAAAACGCTAGCTGTAGCTGCTGTACTGAAATCCGATTGGCCGCTGGAGAGGGAGAGCAACGAGCTAGCGAGTTCTCAGTCGCTAGTCTCGCACGAAGTTCGAGTAAATTTCCTCTCTCAGGCTCTGTCTCGGCTGCGCTGCTACGCCCCAGCTTCTCTCTCTCTTTTTTTTTATTGTTTCAGCTTTCAAATTGACCGGCGATTTGCTTTTTCTGTTGGGGACGCCCTAAGGGGAAGAAAGGAACCATATATTGCCCACTATGATGGACGAAAAAGGAAGGAGTGGGGTGGGAAACGATATTACCACAGTCCAATGTCATGTGGGATGTGGCCTAGGTTGCGTTGTCCTCGTTGGAGTCATGACGATATATCTCGACAAGACCGGCGAAGATGGTGCCATAAAGCTAGCCAAGGACCGCGTGCAATCCATACAACACTAGCCTGGGGACGTTCGGGTGCATGGTGTGAGGTGCCTGGGAGAGGGCATACTTACCGACGCTGAGGAGGAAAGGCCACGCCACTTGGTGTACTTTGGCATGCCGGAATCAACAAGCACGTTAAGGACGAGGGTACGGGTGTTGAGAACAGCCAGTCTGGGCGTGAAGCGTGATGTCTTCGAGTGCCTGCTACTAGCTAGGCACAAAGGGCATGTTCGGCATCTAGATGGGCACGCTAGCTCGACGTCAAGGCGTGCGAGCTCTGCCTTGTCGGCGAGGCACTGTTGGCGCTGTGCACCCGTGACGCGGTCCCCCGGCAGGGGGGATGAGGAGATAGGTGGACGCTGCAGGCACGGACACCGACAACGAGGGAGAAACGGTGGACGGTGATCGCCGGTGGCTAAGGTGCGGAAGTGAGGGTCGCAGCATACGCTACTGAAAACGCGTGCTTTGTCGAGGGCCAAATCTCGGGTACTCGGCAAAGACACTCTTTGCTGAGGACCAGCCACAGGAGCCCTCGGCAAAGAGGCCTTTGCCGAGGGTCCGGCCCTCGGCAAAGAGACCCGGCCCTCGGTAAAGACAGGCCCACGGTAAATCAAATCTTTGCCAAAGGCCGCGGCAAAGATGCCCTCGACAAATTAGACCCGTTGGGTCACGGCGGCCATTCCCGTCAAGCTTTGTCGAGGGTCACCCATTAGGCCCTCGGCAAAGGTTTTTTTTTTCCTGTAAAACCAGTTTTTCGGTAATTTTTTTTAAAAAAAAGTCTTTGCCGAGGGCCCTGGACCAAGATTTTTGTTTGGAACGAGTTTTTCGGCCAAATTTTTTTTTATAAATCGTCTTTGCCGAGGGCCTGAGGCCTTTGACGAGGGCCAGGCTAGCCTGGCCCTCGTCAAAGATTTTTTTTTTGGTTTTTTTAGCCCAGTTTTTTTGTGGTGCTACAATACAATGTTTTGAACTCAATTTTAAAATTTGGGCAAATTTTGACTTTTTTTTGTATATTTCCTTAATTTATTTCGATTCTTTGATTTTTTTCGAATATGTCAAATTTGAACTGCAGGTGCATGAAATATTGCAATGTAGTGTTTCGAAAAATGTTATTCATGTTAATTGGTGCATGTTGAGTCCATATCCACGAACTCGCATCAAATTTCGCGCATCTTCTTTACGTAACATGACGACCGACTTGTCGGAAAAGTGTTTTAAAATTATATAAAATCCATACGAAGTCCGAAAATCACAAAACATGGCGAGATGTCATGTTATCGCATGTGTAGGCTGTGGTAAATAATTGAGAAGGTTTCGAGCGAGTTGCGACGTCGGATGCCTGAAACCTAGACATCTCCACATGTCACATTTTCCGGCGAGTCGGTCGTCATGAACTGCAGGTCCATACCAAGTTTCGTGATTTTCGGACTTCGAATGGATTTTATATAATTTTAAAACACTTTTCTGGCAAGTCGGTCATCATGTTACGCGAAGAAGATGCGCGAAATTTGATGCGAGTTCATGGATAGGGACTCAGCATGCACCAATTAACATGAATAACATTTTTCGAAACACTACATTGCAATATTCTATGCACCTGCAGTTCAAATTTGACATATTCGAAAAAATCAAAGAATCGAAATAAATTAAGGAAATATAAAAAAAAAATTCAAGATTGACCCAAATTTTAAAATTGAGTTCAAAACAATGTATTGTAGCACCACAAAAAAACTAGGCTAAAAAAACAAAAAAAAATTGCCGAGGGCTCTTTGCCGAGGGCCTGGCCCGTGGCCCT